ACCGAACCTAGGACAGCCGCGGACACACCGTCGAGCTCGGATCACGTTTTGGACACACCAAAGACGAGAAAGAGATAAGCTTAAGAGCAAAATTCATTCAACAACAAGTCTGAAAATTACAAGAGTGAATTCGAAAATATATAGAGGGAGAATGGAGTCTTAATTGTGCTTAACAAGCACAAGAGGAGCCTAATATGGATTTAATGTGGTGGTTGGAAGAATATAGTTGTTGGGACTTTGCTTGCAGCTCAAGAAGCTTCCTTTTGCATGTAGGGTCCGGCCATGATGGTGAAGACGTGATGCAGGCCATGTCGGGGTGCGTCGGCCTCGTCTTCGTCCCGTATCCCGCTCAAGACTTGATCAACGACGCCATATAGTAGTTGGCGAAGTGCTCGAGTTTTGGCCCGAGTGATTGGCGGCTCGGCCCTAATGTATGCTCGTGGGGTACCCTTCGCGTGATGGTCGTTGTTGAGCTTTGCGGGATCAAGTGATCGTGTAACGTCTTGATCACTTGACATGTCCAAGGGTTGGTCTTCGGTTGATTGCTCCGAGGAATCCATGTTCGCTCCTAGCTTCGTGTGCTCCGCATCCAAGTGCTCCTGCTCCGGTTCCAGCTCCGGCTCCATGTCCTCATCATTCCCTCCCCCTTGAGAGGTTTTCGCCCACGAAAAGTCGGATCCTGCAAGATAAGGACACAAATCAGTAACATTAAAGGAATTAGAAACGGTATACTCAACAGGAAGTTCGAGCCGATATGCGTTATCATTGATGCGCTCGATGACTCTGAAGGGACCGTCTCCGCGTGGTGCTAACTTGGACTTTCTCTTGTCGGGAAAGCGCTCTGGGCGGAAATGCAACCAAACCCAATCGCCCTCGTTAAATGTCACGGCTTTTCTACCCTTATTGGCTTGGCGGGCGTATTGTTCGGTTTTCTGAGCAATATTGTCATGCACTCGCTGATGGAGTTCCTTAATGAACTCGGCCCTTTGTTCCCCTTCAACGTTCACCCATTCGTCACTAGGTAATGCTACAAGGTCCAAAGGCGTGATTGGATTGAATCCGTAAACGGTTTCAAACGGGGAGTGGCGAGTTGCCGAATGCGTAGCTCGGTTGTATGCGAACTCGATACGGGGAATACATTCAACCCAATTGTCGAGGTTTTTCCCGATGGTTGCTCGTAAGAGAGTCGATAGTGTGCGGTTCACGACCTCGGTTTGGCCATCCGTTTGAGGGTGACACGTTGTCGAGAAGACGAGCTTAGTACCGATCTTTTTCCATAGAGTCCGCCAAAAATGGCTAAGGAATTTTGAATCTCGATCGGATACTATTGTTTTGGGGATACCGTGCAGCCTCACAACCTCACGAAAGAAGAGGTTGGCTATATTCTTGGCATCATCCGACTTTGCGCACGGTATGAAGTGAGCCATCTTCGAAAACCGATCGACCACTACAAATATGGCGTCCTTGTGTTGTAGCTTCGGAAGACCGAGGACAAAATCCATCGAAATGTCTACCCAAGGCTGCATCGGGATCGGTAACGGCATGTAGAGACCATGAGGATGTTCTTTCGATTTAGCTCGATGGCATTCGATGCATTTAGCACAAAATTTCCTCACATCTCGCTTAAGGTGCGGCCAAAAGAAATGTTCTTGGATGATGGCCAGC